GATGCCACAGTCATCTTGTTTCAGTTATCCATTCAATAAATTTAACTGAATGTTCTGGGACAAAAGAATTAAAAACATTTGTTGCTATTTCCATAATACATAGCCGTACTCACAGGTGTGCTATGTCAGTTAGAACCCTATCAGCTAAATCAAAGCCCCATGTTCCCATTAGCCATTCATCATTGACCATTCACAGAGGTAACCCATGAAGATTTCACAGCTGTTGTGAAGTAACACTTGATTTCTGCCAAGATCTCAGGAGGACTGAATTACTGTGAGTTATGAATTCCCCAGAACTCATAGAACTATTTCTTGTACAACCAGGATCATATATCTCAATAACAGCTCTTCTGCCAGGGAAAGTACAGGTAAACTTTGATACTGGAACATTCCTTGTAGTTTGATTTGGCAAAAAGTGACTCACATCCTTCCATCACTTTACTGTATAATTTTAAAATAATTTCCCATTGAAGGAGAAAGGATCATTTGTCCTTTAAATATGCACACACAATAACCTATTGCTATTACTCTTGAAAGTCTAACCAGTAAAATTTATGACTTCCATCATAACATTCCATTTCTTTTAAGAGAGAAACTTGAATAGCATGTTCCTGCCTACTTCTAACTTAGGTCAAAATATTTGCTAGGGCAGGGCTTTGTTTCTTTTAATTTCTGAAGTCTGGTCCCATAAGTGGTAACAGTGAATTGTTGCATGTCTTTCCACTCACACCACATGATTTACTTGTTTTAATTGCTTATCTAAATGCTGGTTCATCCTGCAGATGTCAGGTTGAGTCATTTCTTTCTTGAAGCCTTCCCTAATTTAGGGCAGCCTTGATTGTTTCTTTCTACCTCTCCCACAATTAAGAGTTATTAGTGCCGAAGTACACTAGGAAAGTTGATATCATGACTGACATCTGGCTCTGCACCATTTAGTCACACTATTGTGTAAGATGGCACAATGAGAACTATGACTATTTTTGCAAATGTCTACTACACTGAGATGGCTAGCAATAACTTAATTATTCATGCAGGTGACTGCAAACCATATAAATATATCCTGATGAAAATAAACCAAATGCATCCCCAATTCAATTTCCTGCTACTTGAATCCCCAAATATCCATAGCCACTCCAGCATCACCAGACAAAAATGTGAGTGAGAGAGAAGTGAGAATGGAAAAAGACAATAATCTTAAGCAGTGATGCTTAAAAATATCTTACTGTGTCAACTGTATTAAGCGAGAAACCCTGAGGTTTAGGACCGTTAGATTTACAGCCACACCATCTCTGCTCCTGCCTATATGCTCTTTTCTCCCTGCCACATAGATGTTTTATTCTACCCACAAAACTTTCATCCCTATGCCTCTTTCCAAGCCTGCTTTCCAATCCAACCTCTCTTCCCTAAATTTCCTGAACCTTCTCCCTGCATATGACTCTTCTCAACAGGAGATTTTTTTGGTTAAATTCAGAATCTCAAGTTCCCACATCAAATTCACTGAGTCAGTATTTTTTAAATAACATCTTTAGAAGCATTTCATATGCCTTTTGGTTTAAGAAGCATGTCCTAGAAGACACCCCTTCCTACCTTCATTCCATGGAACTGGAGAGGTCACTCTTTTTAAAATGAATTTTTTACCTCTTTCTAACTCAATGCTTAACCAAACCCAGGTTCTTCCCTTGCCCCATGACAACATGCAAATCACTACACTTTCACATGGCGATGTCTCCAGGACCCAGGAATGAAGGACTGACCTTCTTTCTAATCCCTGTTCCCTCTTTGGTACATCAAATCAGTCATGATCATCAGAGACTAAACAAGCAATTTGGTTCAGCCTTGGAAGATTGCCATAACAAGTGTTTCCACAGATATATTTGAACATTTAAGGATCCAGCACTGATATCATCATATTTCTTCTCTTTCACTGTATCTCACTATTGTCCATACTTTGATGATCTGTAAAATGACTGACCTCATGTTCCTATTCAACCTATGCCACATGGTATTCCTTAATTATTGCAAGCAAACGTTCTTGTCTTCCCAATTAATTTTATGTGTTCTGAAGACAGGGATCACACCAGTGATGTTCTGGGTCTCATAGAGGCTAGCATAGTATTTGACACATTGTGGCTACCATTTAAGTCTTCTGGCTTAATTATGGATTGATCAAATATTTCTTTGATGACTGAGGAACTTTCAGAACCTCAGAAATGCAGATTTTTTTTTTTTTTTTGAGACAGGGGCCCAAACTGGAATGCAGTGGTGCCATATTGGCTCACTGCAACTTTGACCTACTGAGCTCAAACGAGCCTCCCACCTCAGCCACCATGCTTATCTAATTAAAAAATGTCTTGTGAAGAGACAGAGTCTCACCATATTACCCAGGCTGGTATTGAACTCCTGGGATCTAGACAATCCTCCCATCTAGATGTCCCAAAGTGCTAGGATTACAGACATGAACCACCATACCTAGTCACCACTTTGAACTATTATATTCTTACTGAATATAAAAGAGAACCAAATGTTTTATTACTATCATCATCATCAAATATGCATTTCTCATGATGCTGTGTCTCATACATTTTACTGGAAAGAAGGGATCTTCCTGTCATTGTAATAACAGCTTTACATTGCATTTTAATATAGAAAAATTAGGTAATAAAAACAGCATGGAATATGTCACTGAACAGTCCTTACTAGCTCTGTAATTTGAAAATAGCTAACAGCTCTTAATCATCCTGTTGCCTTGTGTGAAATAAGCTCATGGGGTTATTATAGCTTTAATGAGACAAAGCAAAATCTCAACATTGTCTTTTTCTCAATCCATTATTGTACATATAATCTCTGTAATGAAAATTTCAATTATTCTTATAAATACTAGTTTCAGAATTAACACAAAAAAGTATTAAGTTTGAAATTATGTCATGATTAATATAGCTACTTGTACTTTCAATCCTCCAAGAAAACCATGGAAAATTCAAAATTAACAAGGGAGTTGTGCAATGATTCTCACACTGTAAAACATTTAAATTCTTTTAAAAAAAATAAACATTGTATGTAAGCCTTTCTCTATTCATTCCTTGAAAAAAAAATGCTTGATGTTGGGAATGATAGTGAGGCAATGTTTATTTTTAATTTGCCTTAGACTTCTGGGCTTAACCAAGAAAGTTTATCAAAAACCGCATGTAAGAGTTTTAGAAGTTGGACAGTGGAAACAAAAGCAGAAAAAGGAAGGAAGGGAGGGAAAACAGAAGGAAGGACCAAAGAGAAGTAGGTGTCTGTGATGAGGCTTGATTTCCGTAACTTGCCAGTATTATTATAATATCGTCAAACAATTTGCTTATTTGGTCAACAAAGATAAAGTCACATTTAGATCTCTACTTAAAAAGCTTTGTTCTTCCCTCAAAGAACTTGTATTTTCCAAAGATGACAATGACAATATCTCTTGACACATGCTCTTCTGCATAATGACTTTGCTCCTCCGTGAGAAGTCAAAGTTTATTTCTCTAACCTCCTTGAATCTGGCCCAACCCTATGACTGCTTTGGCCAGTAGAATATTGCAGAATTAACACTGTCAATGCCAGTTTCTGAAAAACTCTTAATATACTGGGTAGCTTCTTCTTTCTGCCTCTTGAACACAACCAGCCATCTAAGAAGCTTATCATGCTCAGCCCACCACCCTGGGAAAAGCCAGAGGACTCAAGTTCCAGATGGGTAAAGAAGCCAACTTAGAAGTATATTTTCAGCCCCAGACCCTATAGCTGATGCCATGAGGATCAGGTACAAACTTCCCAGATGAGCACTTCTAAAATTCCTGATCCACAAGGTTTTATGAGCAAAACAAAATGTTTGTCACTAGGATTTAGGGTAGTTCTTTACATAGCAAAAACTACATATCTCAGAATACACAAACAATAACTAAAAACTAGTGAGAAAAAAGACAACCAAAATTGAAAATGTGAAAACAACTTAAACAGGCACTTCATAAAAGTGGATAGCCAAATGGCCAGTACATATATACAAATATGCTAAATATCATTAGAAATCAGAAAATGCAAGTTGAAGTCACATGTGCCAGAATGACAAAATTTTTAAACATTGGCAATATTAGATTTTGAGAAGGATGTGGAAAACCTAGACCATTCTTGCACAAAGTCAAGAGCATAAAGTAGTATAGCCATTTAAGAAATTAAAAAACCTACACATTCACCATGGCCCAACAGTTTTACCCCTGAGTATTCCTAGCAAAATAGAGTGTTATTTCCACCAAAAGACATGAACAAGAATATTCATAGTAGTTTTAATCATAAGCTCCAAAAACTGAAAATATCCCCCAAACCCATCAAGAGTAAAATGAGCAAATAAATTGTGGTATATTCATATAATGAAATGTTATACAACAGTAAAGAGAAGCAAACCAATGATATATATACAGCATGGATTAATTTCAGAGATATAATATTGAAAAAAACTACATATTTCAGTGTACTTTCTCCCAGTTATTTTCCTATACATTATTTAAAAATTCCTATGCATTAAAAAAATAGTTGTAAGCACATTATAGTGTGTTAATAAATCCATTTGTATCTGATGGTTTCCTAATAGAAAGGAATCCAGAATTATATAACTTTTGGCAAACATATAATGTATTTATTTGCAAAAATAAATATTTTATAAAATGTAAACATAACACTTGAATAATCAATAAAAATGTATATTTAACAGATTAAGCTTTTTTAATCTTTAACTATTGACTACAAATTCAATCAAACTCTTCAAGTCATAAGAACTGCAAATTAAATATACTATTTTAAATTTGTTAACCACCTTTGCTATCACATAAAATTCTCATTAGTGATTATAGTTAGTAATAAAGTCAACCAACACACATGGTAAAACCACTTAAAAAGTGTTAAACACTGAAAAAGTTTTAATTTTTATTTATTTCTCCATAATCTTCTTTCTTATTTTGATCTTATTCTTTCCTATTTCTTCCCAGAGCTATACTTTTGCTTCCCCAATCTACACAGAGGTTTTCTGCTGGAGCAGAGACTGATAAGTGAAGATTGGAGCTGAGACCAAGTCTTGAGTGTGACATCCAAGAAGATCCTTCCTAAGTTTATTGCCCAACTAAGGTGATTACATTCATACACTTTGTCCATTACATAAAGATAGTTAAAATTATTAAATCCAAACAATCTTATAGCTTTTGATTTGTGGGGGTAGGAGGCACAAGTTTACTATCAATCTGACTGCTGTTATGGGTACTTGGTATTAGAGCCTATTAAAGTCTATTTTACAAGGGTTTGTTTTGTATCTTATGGGATATAATTCTCTTTTGCAAGTAACTCTTCTGATCAAGTCCTATTTAGTTAAGTTAAATTTAAATGGATTAGTCAATCATTTCCTTAAAATTGCAATTTTTCTTTCTTAGTAACCACTAAGACCTGCAATAGTATGTCATAAGCACTATTTCCATGGCTATAAACTGTTTTGAAAGATAATTATAATTCACTAAATGCTATGGTAAAAATATAATAGAGTTTCAACACATTTTGTGTATATTACAAAGCAGATAATGATGTCCTATGGTGTTTCTTTAATAACAAACCAACTTAAAGAAATTTTTAAAATACAGTATATGGATGAAAAATTCTCCAGAGAAATAGCTATCATAAGAAAAAAAAATAATCACAACTTCTGGAAGTGAAAGACTTTGAGAAACACAAAATTCAGGGGAAAGTTTCAACAATAGACTAAAACAAGTAGAAGAAAGAACATCAGAGCTCGAAGACAAGGCTTTTGGATTAACCCAAGCAGACAAAGACAAAAAGAAAAGAACAAAGCTTCCAGGAAATTTTGGATAATATTACACAGCCAAATCTAAGAATAATTGACATTCCTGAGGAAGAAGAAAAATATAAACGTTTGGAAAACTTATTTGAGGTAATAATTGAGGAAAACTTTCCTGGCCTTGCTATAGATCTAGACATCAGAACACAAAAAGCTCAAATGGCTCCTAAGAAATTCATCACAAAAAGATTGTCACCAAGACCCACAGTCATCAGGCTATCTAACGTCAAGACAAAGGAGAGAGTCAGAAAAGCTGTGAGGAAAAGGATCAGGTAACCTATACAGGAAAAAAACCTATCAGATTAACAGCAGATTTCTCAGCAGAAACCTCACAACCCAGAATTGATTGGGATTCCATATTTAGCCTCCTTAAACACCATAACAAAAAATTATCAGCTGAGAATTTTGTAGCCAGCAAAACTAAGCTTTATAAATGAAGGAGAGATAAAGTCTTTTTCAGAAAAAATAAATGCTGAGTTTGACACTACATTTAGCATGATTAATAAAATAGTACCTCACATTTCAATACTAACATTGAATGTATTTTCTTCTTTTTCTTTTCTTTCTTTCTTTCCCTCTTCTTTCTTCTTTCTTTTTTTTAGACAGCTTTTTCCTCAGGCTGGAGTGCAATGGCATGATCTCAGCCCACTGCAACCTCTGCCTCCTGGGTTCAAGCAGCCTCCCCAGTAGCTGGGATACTGCCTCAGCCTTCCAAGTAGCTATGATTACAGGTGCCTGCGACAATGCCCAGCCACTTTTCACATCTTTAGTAGAGACAGGATTTCACAGCCTAAATGCTCCACTTAAAAGATACAGAATGGGCCGGGTGCGGTGGCTCACACCTATAATCCCAGCACTTTGGGAGGCCGAGGCAGGTGGATTACGAGGTCAAGAGATAGAGACCATCCTGGCCAACATGATGAAATCCCGTCTCTACTAAAAAATACAAAAATTAGCTGGGCATGGTGGCGCACCTGTAGTCCCAGCTACTCGGGAGGCTGAGGTAGTAGAATTGCTTGAATTCAGGAAGTGGAGATTGCAGTGAGCTGAGATTGTGCCACTGCACTACAGCCTGGTGCCTGGTGACAGAACAAGACTCTGTCTCAAAAAAAAAGATATAGAATGGCAGAATGGATAAAAAGCCACCAACCAAGTATCCGCTGTCTTTAAGAGACTCACCAAACACGTAAGAACTCATACAAACTTAAGGTAAGAGAGTAGAAAAAGATATTCCACACAAATAGAAACCAAAAGCAAGCAGAAGTAGCTATTCTTATATCAGACAAAACAGACTTTAGAGTAACAACAGTTAAAAAAGACAAATGGGGCATAATATAATGATTAAAAAAATTAGTCCAACAGGAAAATATGACAATTCTAAATGTATATGTACCTAACACTGAAGCTCCCAAATTTATGAAGTAGTTACTACTAGACCTAAGAAATGAGACAGATGGCAACACAATAATAGTGGCGGATGTCAATACTCCACTAACAGCACTTGACATGTCATTAAGACAGAAAGTCAACCAAGAAACAGTGAACTTAAACTGTATTCTATAACAAATGGACTTAACAGATACTTACAGAACATTCTATCCAACAACTGCAGAATATACATTCTATTCATCAGAACATAAAACATCTCTAAGATAGATGGTGTAAACACTTAGGTAAAATTGGAAGGGGAGTAGTGCTAGCACTCCCCTTAGGTAAAATTGGAAGGGGAGTAGTGCTAGCACTCCCCTTCCAATTTTACTTAAGAAGCAAAATTTAGTTGGGCAATACTTTTTATGATACCGACAAGTGAAGTTTTAAAAGTGCTGGCTTTATTTTTGTTGTTACAAAGTAGTTTAAAGGCAAAGCTTACTTAGCTTTTGGCTTTTAGATGAAATTTATTTAATATGCTAGATTTTTTAAAGGTGCACTATCCACTTAGGATATTTTTTCTGGTGGGATTTTTTGGATGGCTAAATTAACTGCTAATTTTGGTTTATTTTAGAAACATGCTTATTGAAACAGTATTTTACTTAGTTTGAATTTAAATTTTTTAAATTATTTTGTGAAAGTGATGAAAATGTTTGAACAAAGAAGATAACTTTTTTTTGCCTTTTCAGACTAGAGCTTTAGAATGATAATTATACATTGACACAGAAAATTGGGTTTATAATTTAAATATAATAAAGTGTTTTGGAAAGAAGGAGACTTTATTTTATAACTTTAAGAGAAAAATATGTGGCATTAAGACCTGGTTTTTTATGTTTTTGTTTTGTTTTCTAACTTTGAAAATTAAAAAAAATTTTGGCTAAATGTCAAATTTATAAATTAAAACAGACTTCTGGGTTTTGTTATAAAGGCAAAGTAATAATGTTTTTATGTATTTTATAAGGTTATATAGTATAATAACTTGAATTTATGGTTGGATTTGACTGAACTTATAGATCCTAATTTTAATGATGTATATCCAGAAAAGGTGCAATATATTAAGTATAAAAAAATAAACTGGACTGGTTTGCTTTTGTTTTATAGTATGAATGAAAATAACCTAGTTGGCAAACTAATTATTTGAGCAGAAATTATGAATGAAGGATATACTTTAGGGCCGGGTGCGGTGGCTCAAGCCTGTAATCCCAGCACTTTGGGAGGCTGAGGCGGGTGGATCACGAGGTCAACAGATCTAGACCATCCTGGTCAACGTGGTGAAACCCCGTCTCTACTAAAAATACAAAATAAATTAGCTGGGCATGGTGGCGCATGCCTGTAATCCCAACTACTCAGGAGGCTGAGGCAGGAGAATTGCCTGAACCCAGGAGGCAGAGGTTGTGGTGAGCCGAGATCGCGGCATTGCACTCTAGCCTGGGTAACAAGAGCGAAACTCTGTCTCAAAAAAAAAAAGAAAGAAAGAAAGATATACTTTAGAGCTATATGACTGAAGGACATTTTAACTTGAACTTTTTTTTTTCCTTTGAGACAGAGTCTTGTCTGTCACCCAGGCTGGAGTGCAGTGGCACCTTCTGGGCTCACTGCAACCTCCACATCCCAGGTTTAAGCAATACTCCTGCCTCAGCCTCCCGAGTAGCTGGGATTACAGGTGCCCACCACCATGCCCGGCTATTTTTTTTGTATTTTTAGTAGAGATGGGGTTTCATCATGTTAGCCAGGCTGGTCTATGATCTCTGGACCTCATGATCTGCCCGCCTTGGCCTCCCAAAGTGCTAGGATTACAGGCGTGAGCCACCACTCCTGGCCCCAACTTGAACTTTTTAGTGGTAAAAGTAATGTATCAACTAATGTTAGTGTATACACTACTAAAGTGCTAATTTATGCAATATTGTTAAATTTAATTTTTAAAATGAAAGGGTTTTGTTTCTACAGTGAAGGGCAATAACACTATTTTTTTTTTTTTTACAGGCACAAGTGAATGATTTATTTAGTCCACTGACATACTTAACTTTTAGTGTTTTGGGGAAGTTGGATTTGATATAAACTTATTTTGAAAAGCATGGCTTATGAAATTTTATAATAAAGTTATTAATTAAGACATTTAAAAGTTTTTATAAACAATGTGACTATGTGTTGTTATGGTTTTAAATGTTAAAAATCTTTGAAAATTAATATAGTGATATTATACATGTTCTGTGTTTGCTATTAAATTTAAGACCAAGAACAATGCCTGGACTCAATAAATTCAAGAAAATTGAAATTGTATCAAGTAGCTTCTCAGACCACAGTGAAATAAAACTGGAAATTAACTCTAAAAGGAACCCTCAAACTACAGAAATACATGAAAATTAAATAATGTATTCTTGAGTGATCATTGAGTCAACAATAAAATCAAGATAGTAATTTAAAAATTATTTGTGCTGAACAATAATAGTGGCAAAACTTATCAAAACCTCTGGGATACAGCCAAGGCTGTGCTAAGAGGAAAGTTCACAGCGTTAAATGCCTATATCAAAAAATCTGAAAGAGTGCAAAGAAACAATCTAAGGTCACACCTCAAAGAACTAGAGAAACAAGAACAAAACAAACTGTAACACAGCAGAAAAAAAATGCAATGAAGATTAGAGCAGAACTAAATGAAACTGAAACAAAAAACACAAAAGATAAATGAAATAAAAAGCTGGTTCTTGAAAAGATCAACAAAATCGGTAGACCTTTAGCAAGATTAACCAAGAAGAGAGACAATCCAAATAAGCTCAATTATGGGAGATATTATAACTTATACCACAGAAATAAAAAAGATTATTCCAGGCTACTATGATCACCTATATGCACACAA